CTTTGTTGAATTCATGGATTAGATCTAGCAGACTTTTGGTGGAGTCTCTCAGGGTTTCCATGTAGAGTATCATGTTGTCTGTACAAAGGGAAAGTTTGACTTCATCTTTGCCAGTTCTGATGCCTTTTATTTCCTTTTGTTGTCTGATTGCCGATGCTAGGACTTCCAGCACTATGTCAAACAACAGTGGTAAGAGTGGACATCCCTACTGTGTTCCTGATCTCAGTAGGAAAGCTCTCAGTTTTTCCCCATTGATGATGATATTAGCTGTGGGCTTTTTATAAATGGCTTTTATGATGTTTAAGTAAGTTCCTTCTATCGACTTTCTTGAAGGCCTTTATTAAGAAGGGATGTTGTATTTTGTCAAATGCTTTTTCTGCATCTATTGACAGGATCATATGGTTCTTACCTTTTCTTTTGTTAATGTGCTGTGTCATGTTGATTGATTTGTGAATATTGAACCAGCCCTGCAACTCAGGAATGAATCCCACTTGATCATGGTGGATAATTCTTTTTATATGCTGTTGAATTCGATTTGCTAGTATCTTGCTGAGGATTTTTGCATCCATATTCATCAGGGCTATTAGCCTGTAGTTCTCTTTTTTTGCTGGGTCTCTGTCTGGTTTGGGAATCAAAGTGATGCTGGCTTCATAGAATTGAGTCCAGAAATTTTCCTTCCATTTCTGTTTTTTAGAACAGCTTGGGAAGAATGGGTATTAACTCTGATTTAAATATCTGGTAGAATTCCCCAGGGGCACCTGGGTGGCTCAGTCGGTTAGGCATCCGACTTCGGCTCAGGTCATGATCTCACAGTTCGTGGGTTCAAGCCCCGCGTTGGGCTCTGTGCTGACGGCTGGCTCAGAGCCTGGAGCCTGTTTTGGATTTTGTGTGTCCCTCTCTTTCTGACCCTCCCCTGTTCATGCTGTCTCTCTCTCTCTCAACAAAAAAAAAAAAAAAATAAAAAAAAAAAAAAAAGAATTCCCCAGGGAAGCCATCTGGCCCAGGGCTCTTATTTGTTAGGAGATTTTTGATAACTGATTAGATTTCTTCACTAGTTATGTGTCTGTTTAGATTTTTTTATCTCTTCCCCGTGTGAATTTTGGTAGCGTGTGTGCGTGTGTGTGTGTGTGTGTGTGTGTTTGTGCGTGTGCTTAGGAATTTGTCCATTTCCTCTAGGTTGTCCAGTTTGTTGGCATATAGTTTTTTGTAGTATTCCCTGATAATTGCTTGTATTTCTGAGGGATTGGTTGTAATAAATTCACTTTTATTCATGACTTTGTCTGTTTGGGTGCTCTCTGTTTTCTTTTTGAGGAGCCTGGCCACAGGTTTATCAATTTTGTTTGTTTTTTCAAAAAGCCAACTCTTGGTTTCATTGATCTGTTCAACTACTTTTTTTTTTATTCTATATTATTTATTTCTGCCCTGATTTTTATTATATCTCTTCTCCTACCAGGTTTGGGGTGCTCTTGTTGCTCTGCTTCTAGTTCCTTTAGGTGCACTTTTAGATTTTTGTATTTGCGCTTTTTCTAGTTTCTTGAAATAGGCCTGGATTGCAATGTATTTTCCTCTTAGGATTACCTTTGCTACATCCCAGAGAGTTTGGATTGCTTTATTTTCATTTTCGTTTGTTTCCATATATTTTTTAATTTCTTCTTGAATTGCCTGGTGACCCATTCACTCTTTAGTAGAGTGTTCTTTAACTTTTGGAGGTTTTCCAGACTTTTTCCTGTGGTTATTTCAAGTTTCATAGCATTGTGATCTGAAAGTGTGCATGGTTGATCTCAGTTCTTTTATATTTTATTGAGGGTTGCTCTGTGACCCAGTATGTGATCTCTATTGGAGAATGTACCATGTGCCCTCGAGAGGAAAGTGAATTCTATGGCTTCGGGATGTAAATATATCTGTCAGGTCCAGCTGTCCCAATGTTTCGTTTAGGCCCATTGTGTCTTTAGTGATTTTCTGTCTAGTTGGTCTATCCATTGCTGTAAGTAGAGTATTAAAGTCCCCTGCAATTAGCACATTCTTATCAATAAGTTGCTTATGTTTGTGATTAATTGTTTTATGTATTTGGGAGTTCTGAATTTGGTGTATAGACATTTATAATTGTTAGGTCTTCCTGATGGATTGACCTGTAATTATTATATAATGTTCTTCTTCATCCCTTGTAACTGCCTTTACTTTAAAGTCCAGTTGGTCTCTTATGTAGGCTACTCCAGCTTTCTTTTGACTTCTAATACCATGATAGATATTTCTCCATCCCCTCACTTTCAATCTGAAGGTGTCTTCAGATATAAAGTGAGTCTCTTGTAGACAGCAAATAGATGGATCTTGCTTTTTTATCCACTCTGATACCCTATGTCTTTTGATTGGAGCATTTAGTCCATTTACATTCAGTGTTATTATTGAAAAATATGGATTTAGAGTCTTTGTGTTCTCCGTAGGTGTCATGTTTGTAGTGGTGTCTCTGGTACTTTGTGGTCCTTGCAACAATTCACTCATAGAGTCCCCCTTGGAATCTCTTACTGTAGGGCTGGTTTAGTTGTGATGAATTCCTTCAACTTTTGTTTGTTTGGGAAAACCTTTATCTTGCCTTCTATTCTGAATGACAGGCTTGCTGGATAAAGGATTCTTGGCTGCATATTTTTTGTGCTCATCACATTGAAGATTTCCTGCCATTCCTTTCTGGCCTGCCAAGCTTCAATAGATAGGTCTGCTACAACCCTGTGTATCTCCCTTTGTATGTTAAGGCCCGTTTATCCCTAGCTACTTTCAGAATTCTCTCTTTATCCTTATTTTTTGCCAGTTTTGCTATGATATGTTGTGCAGAAGATCGATTCAAGTTACGTCTGAGGGGAGGTCTCTGTGCCTCTTGGATTTCAGTGTCTGTTTTCTTCCCCAGATTGGGGAAGTTCTCAGCTATAATTTGTTCAAGTACCCCTTCAGCTCTTTTCTCTCTCTTCTTCTGGAATTCCTGTGATATGGATGTTGTTCCATTTGATTGTATCACTCAGTTCTTGAATTCTCTTTTCATGCTCCTGGATCAATTTCTCTCTCTTTTTCTCGGTTTCCCCTTTTTCTATAATTGTATCTTCTAATTCACCTATTCTCCTCTCTGCCTATTCAGTTCGTGCTGTGGCCGCCTCCATTTTATTATGCACCTCATTTACAGCATTTTTTAATTCATCACAAAGATTTTTAAGATAATAGCATCTCTGCTGTCTTCTATGCTTTTTTTAAGCTCAGCAATTAATTTCATGATTATTGTTCTAAATTCTTAATCAGTTATGTTGCTTATGTTTTGACCATTCTTTAGCTGTCACTTCTTCCTGGAATTTCTTTTGAAGAGAGTTCTTCTGTTTCATCATTTTGGGTAGCTTTCTGTCTCTTGTAAGTTTTAAAGGCTTGTTATGTGCTCTGCACCAGCGAGTACTGCTATATTAAAGGAGTCTCATACACTGTCCAGGGCCTGGCCATTCAGGAAGTGTTCTTTTAAGAGTGTCCCTTTCTCTCTCTTGATGTGACTTTGGTTACATCATAGTAACCATAGTAACCACATAGCCATAGTGACGTTTTGGACTCTCTGCCATGTGTGCTTTAGTTTGTTTCTTGAAGTAGCCCTGGAAAGGAAAACAGACAAACAAACGGAACAAAAGCATGCAAATGCACAAACAAATCAAACAAACAAGCAAACCGACAAAAATAATAAAACAAAACAAAAAACTCAAAAAAAAAAAAAAACCCCAAAAAACAAAGGACAGTCTAAGAGCATAAAACCAGAATTCCCAGCTACAAATAAAGAGCAGGGTGGAGGCTGTGCTGATGGAAGAGGATATATACAAAGAGAGAAATGACAGGGGTGGGGAGGAAGAGAAAATGAACATTGACCAGGCAGAGAGACTAAAAGGCTTAATCCAGAGAGAGAAAAAAGGAGAATAGGGTAGGGAGTGAGGAAAAAGAAACAAAGGTAATGTACCCAGAGAAATGATATAGTCTGATTATTCCAGAGAGAAAGGAAGGTAAAGAAGGAGGTGTGGAACATGCATCAGGGGGATGGATTAAATATGTCTGTTTAAGCAAACCTATAACCAGAATAACCAGTCTGGAGGAGGGGAGAGATAAGAATGAGCAAAGGGATAAAGTATCTGAATAGCAAGAATTGATCTAGAGATAATCACGGCAATGCATCAGCGCTGGTCTTAGGGGAGGGGCTGTCTGTTTACACAGCATCTATTTCGCTCCTAAAAAAAGCAGTAACCCAGCGCAAATGGGCGTGATTTGGTGTAGGCAGGTCCGAATTCCACTGTGGGCCCCACAGACGATCCCTGAGGCCCCACTGTGGTGGTTGTGGGGAAAAAATGATGATCCCCCAGGCCCTTCTCTTGGGACCAGGGGCGCCGAATCACTCCTTCAGATCCGTCCTCACTGTGCCACGGGTGCAGATGCCCAGCTTGTGTTCCAAGCTCTCACTCTCCGCACATTAATGTTGCCTCCTGAAATGTAGTCCCACAGGCCACAGCCACTGTGCCTCTGGGGTACTGCCTTACTTTGGGGGAATTTCTCTTGTCCCCTGATCTGGCACGGGACCAGGGCACTCAGTCCAAAGAAATCTCCGCAGTTAGAGATGGGATCTTTTTCCGAAAGCACTGTGGTTAGAGATGAGATGATAAGAAATCTCTCCATCCTGTCCGAGGTTCTTCTCTTCTCCAGATATACTTCTGCACTTCCCCAGCCTCTCTTTCTCTTATCTTTGTCTCTCTGCAGAAGGGGCTCCCTCGCCACCATGTCCTGGCCCGTTTTTATCTCCTCCAGTTTGCAATCATGTACTTATGAGGCTGTCTTCTTCCTAGACTGTCTCCTTTCCTCCCAGACTCTTGAGGTTCAGAGTCCTTTGGCTTCAGTCCTTCTTTGAGAGATGCTGGCAGGAAGTATGGATCCCCCAATTTCTCTACCATCTTGGCGCCTCTCTCGTTAACATTTTAAAACTTTTTATTTTTAAACAGATTTTCAGTGAATGGACCTGACTGGACTATTTGAGCACATCATTAAACATGAGCGGTACCAAACCTGATATATTGTGGGCACCACACCAAGTTGATAGATTTGTTGTGTGTGACTCAGAACTGAGCCTTTATCACGTGGAATCTACTGTGAATTCAGAACTCAAAGCTGGATCTTTACGTTTATCTGAAGACTCTGCGGCTACATTACTATCAATAAATTCAGATACACCTTATATGAAATGTGTTGCCTGGTATCTCAATTATGATCCTGAATGCCTCCTGGCAGTTGGACAAGCAAATGGTCGAGTTGTACTTACAAGTCTTGGTCAGGATCATAACTCAAAATTCAAAGATTTGATAGGAAAAGAATTTGTCCCAAAACATGCCCGACAATGCAATACCCTTGCATGGAATCCATTGGATAGTAACTGGCTTGCTGCTGGGCTAGATAAACATAGAGCTGATTTTTCAGTGCTGATTTGGGATATTTGCAGCAAATATACTCCTGATATAGTTCCCATGGAGAAAGTGAGACTTTCAGCAGGTGAAACTGAAACAACATTATTAGTAACAAAACCTCTTTATGAATTGGGACAGAATGATGCTTGTCTCTCTCTTTGTTGGCTTCCACGAGACCAGAAACTTCTCCTTGCGGGTATGCATCGTAACCTAGCCATATTTGATCTTCGGAATACGAGCCAAAAGATGTTTGTAAATACAAAAGCTGTTCAGGGGGTGACAGTAGACCCATACTTCCATGATCGTGTTGCTTCCTTCTATGAAGGTCAGGTTGCAATATGGGATCTAAGGAAATTTGAGAAGCCAGTTTTGACTTTGACTGAGCAACCAAAGCCCTTAACAAAAGTAGCATGGTGTCCAACTAGGACTGGTCTGCTTGCCACTTTGACAAGGGATAGTAATATTATTAGATTATATGATATGCAGCACACACCCACTCCCATTGGAGATGAAACTGAACCCACAATAATTGAAAGAAGTGTGCAACCTTGTGACAATTACATTGCTTCCTTTGCTTGGCATCCAACAAGTCAAAATCGAATGATAGTTGTAACTCCCAACCGAACAATGTCTGACTTCACTGTTTTTGAAAGGATATCTCTTGCCTGGAGCCCAATTACATCTTTAATGTGGGCTTGTGGTCGTCATTTGTATGAGTGTGCAGAAGAAGAAAATGATAATTCTTTAGATAAAGATATAGCAACGAAGATGCGCCTTCGGGCTTTGTCCAGGTATGGACTTGATACAGAACAGGTGTGGAGAAACCATATTTTAGCTGGAAATGAAGATCCACAGCTCAAGTCACTCTGGTATACTCTGCACTATATCCTTTTCATTGTGAATTTTGTGAGATGAATCAGGTAGAGATGTTCTTAAAATTTGCTGAAAGGTCAGTCTGTAAATTTATTCTGAATGTTTTATATGCAAATATAAGTTACATAATGCTAAAATTAGTAAAGTTATTTAAAACTGTTGAGGTTGAAATACTGCTTTATAGATTGTATAGAAAGGAGAAAAGTATATCTACAGTAAGGTAGAACTAACTTTCACTGATGCCTATTATGAATTGGCTCCAAATCAAAATAAATTTAGCTCTGAAATATCTTATTATGTGTCATCATTAGTATTTCCTATGCATTTAAATACTTATGAAACAGTATACAGAAGATATGGATCAGAAGTCTCCAGGAAACAAAGGATCATTGGTTTATGCAGGAATTAAATCAATTGTAAAATCGTCTTTGGGTAAGAAAATTTAATTTTTTAAAATATTTATAATTAATTTTTGTACTTATTTCCTACTTTTTATTAGTTATTTCACAACATTGTGCATAAAGATTTTTGGTTTGGTTTGGTTTCTGATTAGATATTTTAGTACAGTTAACTGTCTAATTGTTTTTATATCCAAAATTCTTTTTGGAGGGAGTCTTAGTTCTTTGAAGTAATAGTGTCTTTCTAAATCTATTCATTTACCCAATTTTATTTTTTTGAAGGCTCACTTTGAGAGGTATTATACATTATATGACTTATAGGATCCTGGTGGTTGGTTTGGATTTTATCATGGTATTTTGTTTCTAAAAACTAAATAAAAAGACACACAATTGAAGGAGATCCTTTTTAATTCTGCTGTCCAAACACTATCACTTAGCTATCTATGGCAAGATCTGGGTAACTATGTCATGAAGTATGGCCTTACCTGAAGGAGCTTTGCCTGAAAGAGTATTTCATGATTAAATGAATGTATGAATTAATGTAGGGTTGAAATTGATCAACTATTAAGAATAAGATAAAGATGTCAAAAGAACCAAACTTATTTTTTCATTGAACAGTTGTCCTTATCGTTTTTATCCGAACTGAATTGTGGATTATACTCTAATCCTTTCTCCAATCTAGGATTCAGTATCTAGCTTTTGATAGCAATCAAATTTGGGCCAAAGTCAAGCTGATAGAAAAGTAGTTTATATTATTTAGTCAAAGTATTCATAAATACTATATAAATAATACAAAATATATATTTTTTAAATAAGAATCGGTTAAGTAAGCATTTCAACTAAACTGTTATTTTATTAAAATTTTTTTTTGTGCCAATGTGAACTGTACCAAAGGAAAAATAATTTTAAAAAATGTTTAAAGGACTTTCATGTTAATTTGTTCTACTTTGCTGAAGATGCAATAGACTGTTATTTAATTTGGGTATTTCTCACTAGCTCTCCACCAAAAAATAATTTTCATTATAAATGTATTATAAATAAATAAGTCCAATTAGAAACTTCCATTTTTATTAATATAAATAAAAGGACAGATATACTGTCATATCCCTGTAGATAAAGCTGCATACCCTGGTTCATGACTTTAGAACTATTACTGCAAAGACTTAAACACCGAGTTTATAGAATTTTTAGTATTTTTGCTCTATGGTAGGTCAGGCCACATTGCATTCTTAGTTATTCTGAGGTTAATGTTTTTGTTGTATTTTGATAGATTTTAGGGAGAAACCTACAAACTACCTCTGAGGAAAAGCAAGGGGAAAAATAGAATATCTTTATATGTTTCTGGTGCAGTAGGGAGAAACTGAATGTCTTAACTTGAGTCAAAAGTAGTCTTTACCCAGATTAAAAAAACTACGTCGGAAAGAGTTCATCACTGTTAGACTTTTAGCTTTTTCTTTGTTTTGGTTTTATTATTTTTGTTTTTACAACCCCAAAATAAAAAGTAGAGAAATAACTGTCAAAGATAGCACTTGTGGACTTCAGTTTTTTATCTGGCCATACTTTTCTCTCTAATTGTATCTGTAGTGATTCAACACATTGAGCCAGCTTGCTCACAGTAATCTAATACACATGTTTACTAGAGCACACAGTGCAATTTTAACTTTGGTGACAAATAATATATACTGAGTGCTTCTATGAATTAGACATCATGCTAATTGCTTTCCCCATGTTACTTTATTTAATTCTTACAATTACAGTATGAGGTCAGTTTATTCAGCACATGTTTATTATTTGCTTGTTATGTGCCAAGAATTGTCCTTGGACTAATAAAGCTATAACTGTCAACAAGAGAAGTCTCGTCCCTCGTAGAGACTGAACAAGGTAGACTACCGCTATTCCTGGGAAGTTTACATTCTAGTTCAGAATATGGACAAGTACATAGGCAATTTAACATGAGGAACAACACACACTTACGTATAGAAGAATGCTAGTCTGGGTGTAAGGTTTGGAGAGGGATCCCTGGGAGGGCAAAGACAAGGTCCAGACATGGAGCAGCATATGCAATTAACCCAGAGGAGAGGGACCATAGCCCATTTCAGTATTGCTAGAACAGAGTGTGAGAGAAAACAGTGAGGAAAGAATGCTGACTAGAAAGGTAAACAATGGGGTAACTCAGGAATTAGAAATCATGGTAAGAATTTAGGGGAGACTTAACCCTGTAACAAGGAGAAACAAAGAAAGATTTCAAAGAGTATTGACAAAATTAGATTTGTGTTTTAGAGCTGTCACTATGTGTGGAATGAATTAGAGAGGATCAAACAGGAAGCTCAGATAAAAGCTACAGTTATTAGGCAAGATATGAGCGTGTTGCTACCAAAGTTAGTGGCAGAGGAGTAAGAGCAATGTGGTAAATTAAGAGAGTGTGACAAAATTTAATGATTGAGTAAAGGAGATGGAGGAGAAGGAAAAGTGAAAGCACATATATTTAGCTTAGGAAACTGAGTTAATACTGGTACTAGTTAATTAAACAGGAATAACCTGAGAAGAGTGCCTTTGAGGGGGAAAGTTTTTTGTTTTGGGGAAAGTTGAATTTGAGATAGGTGGAGCTGTGCACTGGGCAAGAAATTTAGACTAGGTTGAAGAAGTAAAGTCATCCATTTTAAATAATTCTTCCAAGAAATTTGACTAAATGAAGGAGGATTAAAAAGAGATATAATATAAGTGGCAGGTGAATCCAGAGTCATAGGAGGTTTTTTGTGTTGCTTTGTTTTTAATGTGGGATTGATTTAAGCAAAGTTTATATGCTGATGTGAGTAAGTCCATGCAAGGAGATTGAAGATGCAGAGAGAAGGGGGTGACGAGCAAAATTCCTAGGAATATGAGGGAATGGAATCCAGAGCACAGGTGAAAGATTAGTGTTAGATGGGAGGATGTACACTTTCTCCAGAGGGAAAGGGGAAAGGTGTGTAGGTTGTATAATGTTGAATGACTGGAGGCTGATGAGTTAACCACTCAATGGCTCTCTTTTCTCTGTGGTAGGTTTGCTTGTTGAGAAGGAGCAGGAAGGTAATAGAGAGAAGACATGGAGAAAAGGAACCAGAGTTGTCTCGAGAAACATGGGAGGATTGTGGGACAATGTTCTTTAATCAGAAGATAAAATAAAGGACAATGGGTGAGAGAATTAAGGGTACTGGCAAGAGAATGATTCATTTGTTGGTATTGGGGAAGGAAATGACAGGAGACTGGCAAGTAAAAATATGAGGGGCCAAGAGATTGTGAGGTTGAAAAATTTAGAAGAGAGATTTCTGAAAGGCTATGAACTTGTGGTCAGAAAGTGGCTCTTTTGAAAGAAGATCAGTTTGGAGTGTGTCCATTAAAGGAGTGAGTAAAGTCTTGGAGGTGTGAACCTCTGGAGGTAAGGAAGCAAAGAGACAGAGAGACTGGTTTGTTGGACAGACTGACTGAGTGTTGAAGTCAACCAGAATGAGAATCCATGCTCTAAAGGAATGTCTCGTACAGTCTTGTGGAGCAGTGTTCATAATGTTAATAAGTATAATTCCTTCCTTTTAAGATGGCAGAAAATTGTGTCATAAATATAGGTCAGCCATCTATCCAATATGAACACTGGACACTTTTACTACTTTATTATATAGATGTACAAATGCCACAAATTACTATCTGCAAATAGCATAATGTCTGATTGCCTGGTCTAGTATTTGAAACCAGTTTTTTAAAAATGTTGTTTTTTCTTCCAAGATTTTATTTAAATTCAACTTAGTTAACATATAGTGTAGTATTGGTTTCAGGAGTACAATTCAGTGATTCATCAGTTACATGTAACACCAACAAGGGACCTCCTTAATGCCCATCACCCATTTAGCCCATCCCCCCACTCACCTTCCCCTAACAACTCCCAGTATTTCTCTATAGTTACGAGTCTCTTACGGTTTGCCTCTCTCTTGTTTTCCATTGTTTGCATTTTTTTGAGAGCAAGAGAGAGCACATGTGTGAGCAGGTTAAGGGCAAAGGGAGAGGGAGAGAGAGAATCTCAAGCAGGCTCCACACCCCGCAGGGATCACAATGTAAGGTTGGATCTCATGACCCTGAGATCATGACCTGAGCCAGAATTAAGAGTCAGGTGCTTAACCAGCTGAGCTGCCCAGTTGCCCTCTCCCTCTCTGTGATTATCTTATTTTATTTTTCCTTCTCTTCCCCTATGTTGATCTGTTTTGTTTCTTAAATTCCGTATATGAGTGGGATCATATGGTATTTGTGTGTGTGTTTGTGTGAGTGTGTATGTGTACCACATTGTCTTTATGCATTCATTAGTTGATGGACTTTTGGACTCCTTCCATAATTTGGCTTGTTGTTGATGGTGCTGCTATAAACACAGGGGTGCTTGTGCCTCTTCAAATTAGTATTTTTGTTTACTTTGGATAAATATCTAGTAGTACAGTTGCTGAGTTGTAGGGTAGCTGTATCTTTAACTTTCTGAGGAAACTTCACACTGCTTTTTAGAATGGCTGCACCAGTTTGCATTCCCGCCGACAGTGTAAGAGGGTTCCCCTTTCTCTGTATCCTTGCCAACATCTGTTGTTTCCTGACTTTTTAATTTTAGCCAGTCTGACAGATGTGAGGTGGTATCTCATTGTGATTTTGATTTGTATTTCCCTGATGGTGACTGATATTGAGCATTTTTTCATGTGTCTGTTAGCCATTTGTATGTCATCTTTGGAGAAGTGCCTGTTCATGTCTTCTTCCCATTTCTTAACTGTATTATTTATTTTTTGGATGTTGAGTTTGATAAGTTCTTTATAGATTTTGGATACTAACCCTTTATCAGATATGTCATTTCCAAATATCTTTTCTCATTCTGTAGGCTACCTTTTGGTTTTGTTGAATGTTTCCTTCACTGTGCAGAAAGTTTTTTTCTTGATGAAATTCACATAGTTGATGTTTGCTTTTGTTAACCTTACCTCCAGAGATGTGTCTAGTAAAAAGTGTTATGGCTGAGGTCAAAGAGGTTGCTGCCTG